GGGAGATGTGGGGCGGCTTGGGCTGGGGCTGGTCAGGGGCTGGCTGGGCATCCGGTGAGCAGCTGCCCTCCTCCGGGAACAGCGTGGGTCGGGGGGCTGCAGGGCTGACGCTCCTCATGCACATGGAGTGATGCACCACAGAGACAGAGGCAAAGACAGTGGCGAAGCCGGTCAGATACACTACGCCCAGCAGGCAGGCCAGCTGCAGAGAGAGAAGCCAGCAGTTAGATCAGATCCCCCAGCAGCACCCCAAACAACTACTGGTAAAGAGTTTGCCCTTTCATATGCCGTGACCCAGCAACCGTGATGGCAAACGACACCACCAGCACCAGGGCTGGATGCTGGGGAACAGGCTAACAGTAGGCAGAGCCTGTTCAAAGCAGGGACTAAATACTACAAACCAACATGCCCCAGCTGAAATTTAACAGGTTCTGTTTAAAACTCTAGTTCTCTCCATGCCACCACCTTGCACAACTTGTGAGGCTGCAGACCAGCGCAGGCTGACCCAGCACCAGGCTGCAGTGCCTCAGGCAGCACAGCTGCACATCAGCACCTTCTGGCTTCTGACAGCTTCCTTTTCCAACAGGAAAGCTACTGCTGCCGGTGAGAAGGAGGGTCCTGCTCCAAACCCATGGCCTAACAGGTCCTATATTCTTGCAAGTAGCTGCTGTCCCAGGCCCTTACCTTCACCACTTGCTGGTAGAACTGGCCCAGCACATGCTGCCACATGGACTGCTCCATGAGGACACACAGATCTGTGTAGGTGAACCAGCCACGCCATAAGCCCTGCTTTTCTGCAACACTGCAGGAAAACAAAATTTTTTTTAAAAAAAAGGGAATGATGGATGTGGCACAGACCTTTCCCATCAAAGAAGCTCGGGTAGGCCTGGAAAAGACGCTGCTCAAGGTCTGTGGAAGGGAGATGCAGAGGCAGGTCTTCAAGGTGGATGAGAGGTTGACCCATCCCACACACTTACCGTCCTTCCAGCCAGCTCAGCACTTCAAACAGCTCCCGGGGATCTGTGTAGAGACTCCAGTCCTGTAGGGACAGGAGAAAAGGGTCAGTGCAGCCAGAGGAGGCCACTCAGCAGGCAGACACATCCTTCTCTATTCCTTCATGGGAGTTTGTGGGGGAAAATAGAGAAATACAGACTCTCCTCAGTGCTTCCTTTCCCCCCACTCTGTGAAACACTCGGTTGCAGTGACAACCCCACTTACGATGGCACTCAGGAAGTTCATCTCCAGTGTGTTCACAGTCTGGACATCCACCTTCCCTGCTGCTCCCCACTCATCGTTGAACACCTCCTCCTCCTCACCCTCATCATAGAGGTATTTACTAGCAACCATCTAAAAGCAGCACAAAGAACAGGATCTCAGTCCTCTCTGCACTCCTCCAGGCCTCCTTCCAACTCAGTGACCCCCACCCTGAGCCCCCACCACTCACCATAGAGATCAAGAAGAGGTCTGAAGACGAGATCTGCTGGAGGTATTCAGGGTTCCGGTGCCGAAGTCTCTCAATGTAAACCAGTGCCAACATCATGGAGCAGGGTGAGATGCAAGCTTCCCTGTGGGACAGGGCAAGAACCAACCTGAAGGTTATCTGCGTGCTATGAACATCCCAGCCACCACGGCAAAACCTGGCTGCTCCCCTCCCATGCAGTAGAAGGAAGGTTTAGTAAATAGACTGGTAGGTGTGTCCCAGCCTTGCCAGCTCTGTGCTGGCTGTCCTGAGGGGATGCAGGGAGGAGAGCAGAAAGCCCTGGGTCCCATTGCCAGGCACAGCCAGCTCCCAGCTGAGGAGCCCTGCCTGCAGCCAGGCACACCATGAGGGCTCGGATGTCAGGAGGAGAGTCATGGTTCAGACTCGGCTACCCAGTGAGCTGCAAATCCAACCTGTAGAGACTCCCAGTAACAAGAGCACCCCTGCACCCCAGAGATGAGAGCCAATGTGAGGCAGACCTGGCTGTGTTGGGAAGCTTGTTGTTCTCCCCGCCCGCCCTCAGCTCCTCTTTGACACTAATCAGGCCTAAGCACAACGCCAGTGCTGGCTCGGGGACAGAAGTGAGTCATAGGTAAGACCAGAGCTCCCAGTTCTGACACAGGCAGACATGTTTCTGCTTCTTACCGAGATACATGAGACACGTATTTCTTCTGGAGCCTGCGGATAGGGCTAGGAGCCACCTTTTGCAGCAGCTCCACAGCAATATCTAGGACAGAAAAGCAGCAAAAGAGTTTAGCCCCATATAGCACAGTCCATCCACAAGCCCATCGAGTCTTCGTGTTTGTTCAACCCCTCAAGTTTAATTCAAGCTACAAAGACAGGACAGGCTGAACAGAAGTTAAGGAGAAGACAGGAACAAACAGAGAGGCAGGACAGCCAGACTAGAGCAGAAAAAGGATGTGAATGTCCACAGCCCAGCGACAATGCCAGATCCGGATTAACTTGTCTGCGTCATGGGGAGTTACTAGTTGTCAGCTACACAGAGAGGCTGACACCCTCCTCTCACCCCACAGGACCTCAGGAAGCCCTTTTGGAAGCTTTCTAGGACCTGATGTCAACACCACATCTTCCCAGTCCTTTGATCTCCTCCAACCAACTCCATCAACCAGCATCATTCTCCTTCAGAGCTCATCAGCACTGACCCATCTTCCCTCACACCACAGACCCAGTGCTCCTGAGATGATGATGGCCAATGTAGTCATGTGAGCAGGAGCCCGAAGGTACTAAGAGTATG